CATTTTCCTCTTCTGGTGTTGAGACGCCTGTGTCTAGTTCCACCTCAAGCATTTCTCTCCATTTAGCGCATTTAAATGAAGACAGCCGGAACACAGCACGTAATTACTGCGTGCTAATCGCGGCTTTAGAGAAGAACTTGGAATATTCAGGAGAATGAATAGGAACAACGTACTTCCGTTTTTTAATATCAGACGAGAGATTACGTATTGCCTTATCTTCCTGATAGTGCAATTTCTGCTACATTCGGTCTTGGAATTGTGTCTAGTGCGTGTAAGTGATTAGAGTTTAGTCATATGCTTTATTTTATGAGAGGAAGTTTATGATTAAATTGTACTTGCTTCAGTGAAAAAGTGTTCCTCCCACCTCTACATGGACAATACTCCTCCTGTGTATAAACAAACATGGCGCTATTACCAAGAATTTTTTTTTTCCTTCTTGCTAAACAGACTGCAGCTGATAATTACTACTTACTTCTTATTTTGTGAATATCTGAAGATAAAAGCAGTTTGTCGTTTTGATTGATTTCCTGGATTTTTGCCTGAAAAAAAGTTACAGACCACATACGGATATTGCAAAATCACAATGGTGGTATATAACTTACGCCATGGATGGGTAATATATAATAGTGATAGATCTTTAGAGCAAATAGAATTGAATCAAGGAGAATCGATTTGCAGTTGTCGTTTCGGATCGAACAATGATCCGTGGAATCTTCGCTTCTATCCATACGGTCTTGGTAAACGAAAAAAGAACCCTCTTTTACGGTTGTATAGAGAAAACACTGGCGTACCTATCAGACTACAGGGATGTTTATTTATAGAATCTTTCTACCAAGAAATCTTTCAGGTTAACAGTACTATGCATGAACTAAGCAGTTTTGTTAATCTTCCTTTGGACTTTTCAGAAAATTGGAGTTATTTTAATGAACGTCATTTATTTGTAGAAATCAATGTTGTGGTTACTGAAATGTGCGAGGCATTTGTAGAATACGAACCTGAAGAGATAGAGCAAAGAAGAGTGGCACAGACAGACAGGGCAACAAACACGGACAGATCTGCTGTGACTTTTAGGGATCCAGATCCTGAATCTGAAGTTCCAAATGATCCAGACAAGCTCATGGCATCAGTGATTTGTTTAGCTTATCCCGAGATATGCACACTATGTACGAAAAAAAAGATCAGTCAGACTTCATTCTCAAATGTGAGTCTGCCGAGTTTCGAGTTCATAAGTGTGTTCTTTCTACCAGATCTCCAATTTTCGCAAGAATGTTCCAGCATCCGATGGCTGAAGCTACAGAAAATCAAGTAACCGTGACTGATGTCGATGCTTGCGTAATGGAACAGCTTTTACTGTATATGTATACTGGCCGTATAAATGCACTTTCTTATCCAATGGCCCGAGATTTATACTCGGCAGCTGACAAATATGCGATTTTGGAACTTAAAGATAAATGTTCTGAATTTATGGTTTTATGTCTTAGTACATCAACAGCTATTGAAACATTAGTTTTAGCAGATATGCATAATGATGCACTGCTAAGAAGTACTGCTATTAGTTTTATTTCTGAAAACATTGATAATTTCAATACTACTGATGCATGGTTTTCACTTTTAAAGGAACGCCCACATCTGGGTATCGAAATTCTGTCTTTTACAGTGAGTCAGCTGAAATCAACATAGAACCCAAAATAATCTTTTGTGTACTTTTTGTTGATGTAAGAGGATTTTAAAACAGAACAAAGCATGATTTGAAATATTTTTATTCATTGAAGAATTTTGTTCGAACAGTGTATTTTGTAGAAGTGAATAAGTATTTATTAGACATTAAAAAAAGTTTCATCATGACAATATATTAAATCAGATTTGGTAGGTAAGTTTTCATTGGCTTTCATATAAAAAGAAATCATTAATTTCTGAAAGTAAGACAATTCAAGACTTTTCATATCATTAAACATAAGCAAATATGATAATCTGATGTAAACATGTTTGAATTCAAATTAATACCTGAAGTTATTCTTCGTATAAACAGAAATTATGTGTAATTATTATTATTATTAAATAAATGGAATTTCAAATTATCTGTAATTATTTTGATCAATAATATTTGTAACTATTATTGTTAAATTACCTGTAATTATCATTCTTAAATTATAACAAAATAATAGTTACAGTTTTCCAGTAATTTTTACTTTATAATAATTTAAGACTTAATTACTAATATTTAAAGCATAAAACAATTAAAACAAAAAGTAAGTAATAATAGATGGAAAGTAAAATTTTAATATAAAATGTCATATTACTTCATGCATCGAAATTGCAATATTTTACTTTTTCGTAGTCTTTTAGTGTTGGAATTACTTTGTAAAATAATAATTTTATTTTCAAACATAATTAATATTTTGGATGGCAGAAAATTTCTCTTATAATAATGTATAAATATATAATGAAGTAAATATTTTCACACACAGTATTCTAATAAAACTCTTATCATTTGACTGTTAAAATTTGATTTATATTATATGTAACGCAAATGGGAGTTTAAGTGTTGTATGTTATTTGTGACATTGAATTGTTACTCCAAACGGGCATTGTCCTTGAGGGACTATTGTTTTCGGGTTAATCTTCGGATTATGCTAACTTGGCGAAAATTTGGCGACCAACCCTGCTACAGCAACCTCCTAGTTTTTGTTTGGACGCCATTTTGTTTGCACGAAATAAAGGCATATATATATATATATATATATTTTTTTTAACTCAACATTTTTTTCCAACAATCTGCTAGCCGAATTACGCTTATGCTAGAACTTTTAAGGAACAAAAATGCTTAATCATGACGAAGATTAGGTACGAAATTGGGAGAAAGTGCAGAATCGCAAACTGCTTTCCGCGTTTTTAAGAATTCCACATACACGGTATCCATGTACACGTCGACTTATTTTCACTTAAAAAAACATCTCAGAATTGCACAAAAATGGCATTGCGCACACTCTTGACTTTATCCATGTGCACTGCTAAAGTCCTAGCTAGTAACCTTTATCGCCTTACCAAAATGTCGCCAAACTACCTGTTACCATATTCCAAAGATTAGCCGTTTTGCCATTTTGCTTCGAATAACTCAGTTTCACTTTTCAAATTGTTGCCACCAAATATTATTGCCCTGTATTATATTTGAAGAAGTTAACTAATGAAGAATCTGCATAAATGTATGTATGTTTTTCGCATTGTGATCAAACAACGGTACCATCCAATTTTGAATGACGTAATCCTATTGCAGTACAATTCTGATATACGCCCTAATTTCACCAAGTGTGGCGATATGTGTTCTGCGCTGGTTTTTGGCACGATTGCGTGTTGTATGCCAACCCTGTTGACGTTGAAAAATCTTTCGCTGGAGTTCTCTGGTTCGCGTCATCTCTGTGTCTGAGAAGCGAGGGGGGAAAGATAAAATGGTGGAAATTGTTGAATTGAAGTTCGGCAAAAGGAAATATCGTCGTGGCCATCCTGTTGAGGGACAGTTGGTATTTGGAGGCGTGGAATTAAGGTCTGGGAGATTATTTTTAGTGGCTGTGTATGATAGAAGTAGGGATTTGTGATTATTTGTTATTTTATTTATTTGTGAACCATAGTATGAATTTTCTGGATAGTGTGTCTGGCTGTCATATAAATACGATAGTGATTACGTGGCGGCATGTTAAAGGCGGTACGAAATTTGTATTTCTGCTGTTTGAAAAAGCATTAATTCATGGTAAGTTCATTTTATTTTATTCTTTTTCTTATTTTGTAGAATGTTATGTTCATTGTTTTTTAGTATGAATTTCTGTCGTTATTGTTGTTTTTTTTTGAATTGTTTGAAATTTATTTTAGTTATTTTGTTGATTAGTGCGTTCCGTCTAAATTGTGCAATTCGTAGATGTTTTTTAAAGTTGAAACAGGAAGCTGTGTACATGGTATTCTTTGAAATTTATTGTTGTTATGTAAATTTATTAAAGTGAGGTGTTCGTAGTAGTAGCCTAAATGCGTTGTTCGTAGTAGTGTTAGTAGTTCGTAGTTTGTTGCCTAAATTGTGCCATTCGTAGATTTTTTTTTTTTTTTTTTAAGTAAAACATATCGCTGTGTACATGGACTCTTGTCAAATAATTTTGGTTAGGAATTTAAGGTTTTGCTATCTAAATTTTTTGTTTCTCTTTCGGATTTGTAGCTTAAATTGTGTGCTCAAAACGTGGTTTTTGCATTCGCGAAAACCGTGTTTTTGGAGACAGTTTAGGCTTAAAGTTCGAAATGTAAGACAAAGAATTTAGATAGTAATATGGCAGCGTGGAGTTTCTCGCCCAAAATGTTTGGCGAGAAATTTGGCTACTTGATGGCGCATATCAGAGTAGTTCCCTTATTAGAAATATGGGCATCTGGAAGTCCAAATTTGAAATTTGGAATTTGTTTTATTATCGATTATATATTTTGTAAAACTTTAACGAATTTTTGATTAACAAAGCGAGCAATGGCAACGTCGTTCAGACAAAACATTTTTATCTCCAGCGCGTGAGACTGTGTATCCGAAATTCTAAAGATATGCTCAATTTAAAATTATTTTGCGATACTGCTTTTGAACTGAATTTTATAGTTTAAGTGCAAAGAACATGATATTTAATAAATAAAGGTAACATACAAAATGTTAATAAACGCCCCTTTGGATGTAATTTAAAATCTGAAATACTTTCAAATTTTATTATATTTTTTTATAAAATTTCTTTCTTTTTTTATATTTATCACATATAATATAAAGCTGTGTTTTATTTTATATTCTGCAACGCTGAGGGAATTGAATCAGTAAAATCATTTTTATATCTTACCGGAGGCTCTTACCTATATATGCTAAGTAAAATTTAAAAAAAGTTTTAAAACTGATTCTTTTATTCAAAATTAAATGATTATACGGGATTTGCATTTTTTTTCGGTTTCGCAATACTTTCAAATTAAGTTGTATTTTCTATAGCATTTCGTTAACGATTCAAGAAGGTGAAATATATTACTTTATGACATTCCTCACAGTTCCGGTGCTAAAGTTAAAAGAATCACAGCACCGAGCTAAGGCGCGAGACTGTGATTCTTTTCACTTCTTCTTTGAAGGGAGATTCTTTCAGAGCGTCGCTCCAATGCTGAGAATGCTCAGAAATCATTTGTAACAAAGCCGGGATTGTACGGACCAACATTTTTATGGCTACCGCCAACTTTGTAGCCAGTAAAATTTCTACACCGCCCACACCGTTCACAGTACCTTAAAACAGCGCAACCGCAAAGACGTTTCTAAGTGGAGGTTTAGTTTAAAAAAAAATGGAAATTTCCCCATTTTATATACGGGGAAAACGTCGAAAACGACCGAGCATCCAGCTCGTTCTCCTGGAATCGAACCGAGATCGAATTACCAGGGTTCAGCGACTTTACCGAACGGCAGTGAACTTGAATGAACTAAAAACTGGCAGATAAATAAATGGCTAATCTTTGGAATATGGTAACAGGTAATTTGGCGACATTTTGGTAAGGCGATAAAGGTTACTAGCTAGGACTTTAGCAGTGTACATGGATAAAGTCAAGAGTGTGCGCAATGCCATTTTTGTGCAATTCTGGGATGTTTTTTTAAGTGAAAATAGGGAAAATAGGTCGACGTATACATGGAAGATACCGTGTATGTGCAATTCTTATAAACGCGGCAATCAGTGGGCGATTCTGCACTTTCTCCCAATTTCGCACCTAATCTTCGCCATGATTAAGCACTTTTATTCCATAAAAGTTCTAGCATAAGCGTAATTCGGCTAGCAGATTGTTGGAAAAAAAATGTTGAGGGGGGGGGAAAAAAACATATGCCTTTACTTCTTGAAAACAAAATGGCGTCGAAAAAAAAAATGACTAGCAAATTGCTGTAGCAGGGTTGGTCGCCAAATTTTCGCCAAAAATTCGCCAAGTTACCATAATCCAAAGATTAACCAAATAAATAATTAAGACCTACTAGCATACATCCGAATTATATTATCCACCAAAGTAGAATATGAACCTAGTCTAGGGCAACCATTAAGGACTCCAAACAGTTTCAAATTTTTGTGGGGTCGGTTTTCTTAGAGAAGCCGACTATCGGTTATAACGATTATCGGTTTGCATTATAATTTTTAATTTATACAACTCTTGGAGTATGTTAAAAACTGGATTATATACTGGATATCAATTGATTATCAACTTTAACGACAGAATGCTTTCGAAGAACAAATTTTTAAGAAAAACGAGCTACTATCTATGCTACACATAGGGCAATGGGAAAACACAAATTGCCCAAATTTGAATCCTAATCAATATCCAACAGTCTTTTTCACTCGGCTATAGATGGACCGAAGTTTGTTATAAAATAAAGTAAAGTAACATCGATTTATTAATAAAATTTCTAACCAGTCACAGAAAATAATGCAGAAGAAGGGTTTGGGAAATGAATTATTATACATAATTTTCAAGACTTTCCAGCGGCCGAGTGGTAAAGTCGCTGAACACGGGTAGTTGGGTCCGGAGATCGAATCCCGGCCATTGGGCTGGCTGGATGGATGTTTTCATGGTTTTCCCATGTGTAAAGTATAAACGAGCCAGTTTCCCTTAGAAAGTCCTCCACGAAGGCATATACCCTTCAGGACATAACCATCGAGTGCTTTCACATAATAAACCGAACTACAGTTTTCTAAAATACTGTAAGTGTGTATATTTTAAAATAAAGAAAGTAAATTTTATATCACAATCCCGTGACATGATAAAAATCTTACCTTATAAATGTTATTTTTTAATTTTAGAAACACTTGTTATTATGTAATTAAAATTTCTTCGATTATTATTCCCCTCTCATTAATCACACCTTTTCTAAATTTGATAAATAAATCAACCACGTTATTATTTAAAAAAAAATATATCCTAATTATTTTAATTTGTTTGACGGAATATAACGCATATATATTAAATAGAATAATTACGGTTTATAAAAATTACTGCTACCATTTAGGATTTTAGATTTGCATGCCAGATATTTTTTAACCATCTCCGAGTTGTAATG